TATGGTGCAATTAAACACCTTATAAAAGTCGCATTGTATCATAATATCGACGTCTTGGACAATAATATGGTACAGATTTGCTACGCCATTAGTATAGCTTAAAATTGAACCACATAATCACACTTCCTAGACATAATTAACGATGATATAGTTCGGTTTAACATTTTATCAAGGTGTCACTAGGTATAATATCGGTATTTTGAACCATAATAGGGTGCAAATTTGTTGAAACGTTAGTATAATGATTAGTTAAACCACATTATCAAACTTATTAAACTTGATTACAGGATACATAGGTTCAATTTGAACTTCACATCATATGTTATGATTTCGTTAATTTGCACCATATTATGGTTCAAGGGATCAATGTTATGATTCAACTTTGAATCGGTTTTCCTGTTAGTGAATGTTGAGGGTTTTCCTGTTAGTGAATGTTGAGGGTTTTCCTGTTAGGGAATGTTGAGGGTTTTCCTGTTAGTGAATGTTGAGGGTTTTCCTGTTAGTGAATGTTGATAAGTTAGAATACAACAGCTGTTGGACAAGTTTTAAGAGGCTTACGCGAATTTTTTCTCTCATACAAGGTCTTAGTTTATACACAAAACTTTCTACATTTCACACAGAAATTGTTCGTTCGTTAAGTTGTATTTAAAATTAAATGGAATAAATGCCTTAAACTTGTATTTGGAAGACGGTAATAGGATATTGTTTTTATGCTAAGAAAATAAGAATGTGATGTAATTTTTTGAAAATGCGTTTTTTTCCACCTCAAATGTGGGTAATTTCACATGAATTTGGAGATTATTATTTTGTACTCCTTGTAAATCGAACAGGCGTCTCAAGGTTACACGATTTCCCTACTCTCCATACTTTCCCCTTTCCTGTTACTATGGTTACGATAAATCTTGATTTTTCAGATTGAAGTGCAACTCAATACATTTAGTTTAATTTGAAATATTCGTAAACGTCGGTAGAAAAAACGTAGAATAAAACTATGTTAACGGAGATGGGGAAAATTGTACAGTGTTGGGAAATCGAGGAACATTGAGGCGTTGCGCGGTTTCCATTTACAAAGAGTATAGTTAGGTTGATGAGCCAGGAATGTACTATTTCTCTGATATCGTTGTATGATTATTTTTTAAAAAAATAAAACAAAATTTTACATTTTATTTTATTATTTACAACAAAATTATAGCAACGTGACAAGAAAGGAAACAACACCCTAAAATTAAGACACACTTTTGCTGACAATAAAAAGCTGCTATATTTTCCTTTAGAAATAAACCAATTCCAGAAATAGCATACCACAACCTTACAAACACAAGAAGCCTGCATGCATGAGTTATAGATAAGGCTTAATTAAAATTGAGAGAAATGATTAGATAGCCATAAGAACAAGGAATATATGTACACATAAATTGCCATTAAACCCACACAAAAAAAGTTCAAAATAAATGTAACGCCATTCAAAACTTATTTATCAAATATACTCATTAAGAATAATAACTCAAAGCAATAATGTTTAAAGAGATATCAATTATCACATACTTTTAATTAAAAAGTAATCTTTCTAATAAACAGAAATAAAATAAATAACTTTGGCATGCTATTATTGGTTCGGTTTAAATTTTAATTCTCTTAGCACTATGTATTTTTATTTTAAATTGACAATTTTTGAACAAATAACGTTACTACTTTGTTCTGAACTTCAGTTTTCAGTTTTTATATTAATATACAACACCATGAAATTCATAACAATCTTCAAAAAAAATTTTTTAAAAAATAGAGAAATTCCAAACAAAAATCGTAAATCGATGTTCCCGATTTTTTATGTAACTAAATATAAGTTTTAATACCAATTTTTTTAAGGATTTAAAAAAATTGGTATTATAGACCAACAATAAATTGTTGTAGTACATATCAACAATATGTAGCATATATGTAGTATGATGTAGTATATATATAAACAATAGAATAAATTGTTTTTGTTTTCAATAAAAACTATCGTTAAATTCAACATCAAAAGTTTTCATTGTAAGATTTCTTTTTCTTTTAAAATCTAAGTGTTTGTTTTTATTTATTTATTTTTGAAAGTAGGTTTAAATCGTAAACTACCTATTTTTCTACAATTTGCCCATACGGAAAAATAAAATATTTAATATTTACGCATTTCAAATTTCAAGTAATTATCTTTATCGTTTTTCAGCTATATTCTTTTAAACTTGATTTTAAAAGAAAGAAACAGTTGAAGTTTAATGTGGGAAAAAACGATATTATATTTATGTAATATCATTCCAAATTACATCGTTCGAAAGAAACTATTTTAATAAAGTTTCTAAATAATAAAAAAAAAATTCTCAAGATTTTTGTGTTTCAGACTCTATCAAAAACTGAATGATTGTTATATGCATTGCTTTAAGACATTTCTGTCAAATACTTAATTCAGAATAAATTCCATGATTTTGTTCTATTTTCTCCTCCTCCTAACTTTCAAGAACTCTACAGCAAAATGTGGCCTCCGTGTGCAAATAAAGTGAGGGGAGCATGGAACAGTGTGGGATGAAAAACGGGAACATGGTGCGCAAATGCTGGAGCAGCAACTACTGTCTTCGCGAGAACTGCTGGAGCTGGAGCAACCACAGCTGCGATGGCTGGCTTGTTGATGGCTGTGTGGGCGCTGTCCTGACTCCCGTCAACCCCCGGTTCGTTTGTATGAACATCTGCCCTGAATCCAGCACTGTCGGCCACATAGTTGACCACTCTTGTCCTTCCGTCAGCGTTGTGGAGTCCGTAGGAACCAACTTTGTTTCCTAGAGAATCGCCAACTTCTTTTCGAAAACTTCCTCCGCTTGTGTGGCCCTCGGAGTAACCAAATGCATAATTTCCGTGATTCTAAAAGGAAATGAAGATTACTCAATTTGGAAGAAGAAATACTGATACATCTCTGTTTTTATTGTTCTGGTAAAAAAAAAAAATTAAAAAACATAACCAAGAATATTAATTTTCATATTACTATACGCTTGGTGAATAGACGTCTCAATGTTACCCAATTTACCCATTCTCTACCCATTTCCCCATATCAATAAGAAATTCGAATGGGTTTCCGAGGAGGGAAAAGCAGAACAGAGGGGGAAAGTGTGGAGAGTGGGGAAAATCAGCAAAAGTTCTGACGCCTATTAATTTTTACGAAATATGTCAGATCCTCCGTTTATCAACCTACGTGGTTGCTTCGTATTCATCGTTGAAGTTGAATTTTTCCCTTAAGAGTCATTATTTTCTTTTGTAAAATATATAATTATTATGATTTTAGGTAAGAATATTTTACTGTTATGTTAATCCTAACTAAATGAAGACTCTCCTGGATTTGAAAAATAATCAGCGATACTTGAAATAAATAAATTAACTTATGAATACAGAATGTGTGACAAAATAAGAAGCAATAAATGTGAAATAATATTAACTAGGAGGCTTCGCCCCCTGCTCGCTGACGCTCGCCAACCCCCGAAACTGCTTTCACAGTTCATTTCGGATTGCTTCGCAACCCGATGCTCGCTTTGCTCGCTCATTGGCTACGTTCTTAACGTCTAGCTTTTGTATACTTTTTTGAACACTGAAGTTCCGAAAACTTTTCACTGTAGAAAATTCTAAACCTGTGCATTTTAATATTAATTTGAAATTCCAAACAGTTCACATATTTTTCTCAATCACACTATTCTAAATTTCAGTTGTTGAGAAAAGTGACTGTTGTAAGTTAAAAGTAATAGATAGTTAAAAGTAATAGATCTTAATAGCAATAGTATTAATTCTTAATTTCTCAAAAGCAATAACACTGGGTTGCAAAATTTTTGTTGCATTTATACAAATACCTAATCTTGTCTAATTCGGGTGTGAGGATTTCAAATCTGAAAATTAGCTTTACTCCTAAGGCCACTGATTTTTTTTAAATGCCATATTTGATCCGATTTTCGTCAAAATGTACAATTTTAAAAACTTTATCTATAACAGGGGATTGCATAATTCAGCAACAGACTTCCAGGGGAGTTAGCGCACATCGTCAGGATTAAAATTGCATGAGAACCTAAACCCAGAAATGCCGTTGTATGTGGCTTGGGGAGTTTTCCTATAATGACCTGTTCAGAAGCCCATGAAGAAACAGTTCATTATTTGGAAGCGCCTCTAGCGGCGTAAGATGACATTTTTACAGGCACGGGTTCCTATGCAGTTTTAATACTGATGATGTGCATCCTAACTTCTCTAGAAGCTTGTCATGACATTTATGCGATCCCTTTGCTCTATATAACGCTTTTAAGCTACCACATTTTGTCCAAAAAAAAACACACTAAAAACGTCAGTATTTAAAAAAAAATTGGAGAGAGAAACCGNGTTCACATATTTTTCTTAATCACACTATTCTAAATTTCAGTTGTTGAGAAAAGTAACTGTTGTAAGTTTTGTTTTAAAGTCTTTCCCACCCGAGGGCTAAAACCATGTGTTGTAAAACAATATGAAATAATACTGAACGCCTGATGTAAAGCATCGGCTTCGATGAAGATAATTTTGTGAGAATTTCTTTTGATAATTTGGTGAGAATTCACCCGATTAGACATATGATGCTCACTACATGCTACATACGTATACATACATACGTATACATACGTATTAGCATTACGTATACGTATACGTATACATTATTGATACATACGTATTAGCGTTTTATATAATATAGATTGTTAATAATCTATAACGATAACCTTATAACAGTTCAAATTAGAAGCTGTTTTTTACTCTTTTGAGTCTTTAATATTTTTAATAGTAAATTGATAGTTTTGATTTTTAATATTAAGAAGTTCTTTATAATCAATAGCAGTAATAGTGAAAATTAAAAGTAATAGATCTTAATAGCAATAGTATTAATTCTTAATTTCTCAAAAGCAATAACACTGGGTTGCAAAATTTTTGTTGCATTTATACAAATACCTAATCTTGTTTAATTCGGGTGTGAGGATTTCAAATCTGAAAATTAGCTTTACTCCTAAGGCCACTGATTTTTTTAAAATGCCATATTTGATCCAATTTTCGCCAAAATGTACAATTTTAGAAACTTTATCTATAACAGGGGATTGCATAAATTCAGCAGCAAACTTCCAGGGGAGTTAGCGCACATCGTCAGGATTAAAATTGCATGAGAACCTAAATCCAGAATTGCCGTTGTATGCGGCTTGGGGAGTTTTCCTATAATGACCTGTTCAGAAGCCCATGAGGAAACAGTTCATTATTTGGAAGCGCCCCTAGCGGCGTAAGAGGACATTTTTACAGGCACGGGTTCCTATGCAATTTTAATACTGATGATGTGCATCCTAACTTCTCTAGAAGCTTGTCGTGACATTTATGCGATTCCTTGCTCCATATAACGCTTTTAAGCTACCACATTTTGTCCAAAAAAAAAAACACACTAAAAACGTCAGTATTTAAAAAAAAATTGGAGAGAGAAACCGATTGTAGATTTTAAATCAGCGATAGGAAAGTTGAATTTTGAATAATCTAATAATAATTATAATAATTAATAGCACTAATAATTTAAATATAATTTTAATAATTAATAGCACTAATAGTAAGAGTTAATAGTAATAGTTCTTAATAGCAATGATTAATAGTAATTCTCAATAGTGATGATTAAGAGCAATAATTAGCGGTGATAACGTTTAATGCCAATGTGAAATTCCTGTTTTATCCCACATGTTTTAAGGGTGCTCAAACAAAGTAGCATAGAATTTGCAAAAATGAATTCACGTAAGATTTAAAAATAATTTTTAATATTTCTGCTATTCATATGCAATTGAATAGAATAAATTGCACTTACGTCTTCCGTTTTATATTGAGTACTTGCACCTCCCTCCAAGGCATTCGCTTCAATCACAACAGGTAGAGCTTCAGAGGAAACAAATAGGCCACAAAATAAAAACAACAGCGCCTAAAGACGAGAAAACATAAGCTACATTTGAAGCCAAATTCAGGTGAGTCCTATAAAACTTTCGTATTGCATAAAAGCTATAAGATATTCACTACAACATATCAACATAACCAAAAACATGATTAATAATAACTAAGACTCTTCTATCTCAGTGAAACAAAGTTAATTTGATTTTTATCGTCAAATGTACTTTTCTATGATTAAAGAGCCTCAAAACAAAAAGGTATAAATAGTACAGAGAGAAAAATAAAAAATAAAAAAAACTTGCAAAATATAATAATTTTAGTTCTAGGCCGGGATAACCTAGCTGGCAGGAGCTGAACTCCCATTTGTGAGAACGGGAGTTCGAACCCAGCCCCGTGTAGTAAATTGTGGATGGTGCTAATTAAATCTGTCTGGTCTCAAAGTCCTCTACCTTCTCATAACAAATTATACCTGTGCGGGTGTTGAATTAAAGATTGCTGGTTCTCTGGTTCAGGTCAAAATGGCGATCGGTGGATGAATGAATAGGTTCGCCCTATAAACGGGTGTGACGTATGAGTGTGGCAGAAGTCTCAATCTTCTTTATAGATGGCGCCACTGGGAAACAAGAACAATCTCACCTCTTCTGCCTTAATGGCCAACGATAACAACAACAACTTCAGGTCTAATGATAGGATTTTCACGAACCGATCAAAATAGTTTAAAGGGGTGATCTCAAATATGCTTACAGAATCGATAAGCAGTAAATACAGTAAATAATACAAGACGATATTTCAAGGTACAGAATCAGACACAAAGGCGTACTTTCTCTGAATTACAATAACTTTTTGACGAATTTCTAATTTTTGACAATCGAATAATGTTAATGGTCTTAAACTGAAAAATAGGATGCCGATTGTTTGTACAGGAGAGTGTGTCTCTTAATGTTAATTTCCCTTTTTTGCGTAGTTCGTCATACATCAGCAATTTTATAAATATACAAATATACAGCGTGTATACAAAAATAAATTAAATAAAGGAAATAATTCTTAATAATTATTTATTATGCTCTATAATTTCATTTAATAACAGTCTAAAATATTTTGAATTGTAAGGTAAACAAATTTTTGCATCATTTCAGAGAATATAATTTTAAATGGCGAAAAAAAAGTTTGAGAATAATCGGCCGAATAGTTTCTGAGTTATCAAATTTTAAGAAAGTCGAATAATTAAAATTGTATTTTTACATTATCTTCTTATTACGCATCTTAGCTGTAAAATTTGGAATTAATGCTAATATCAAGTAGAAAGTACTTTTATAATTTATGATGACAATAAATTGCTGAAAAGTTATGATAAAACTTCATAAAGAAACTGTGAGTTTGTTTAAAATATAAACGATTTCTTTACTGCAATTGACATGACATAGACATGTAGAAAATTAACTAGACTATAGTAAAATAAATGAACTATATTAAGTAACTTTTAACAGCGCATCCTAGCGGCTAAATTTGGAGTTAATGCGATACAACATACAAAAACACATATTGGTATACACATGAACTAAAAACATCGAAGAAACACTATACGAAATATATAAAATGTTATTTACCTTCATCTTTGGAACGAATGTGAGATTCCATCGATAGGTTTGTCTTTTTATAGGAAAATTTCGTAACAATTTTTCAAATCAAAGCCATAAATAATCATTTTAAATAATTTGTAATTATTGTGGTAATAAAAAAATAATTTATTGTGCTCTTAAGGGGTTATCTACAAATAAATTTTCGTGTTAAAAATTACGTCGAATGAGGAAGAAACATGAAAAGTAATGATTTAATGAGTTTCCGATTTAACTACAGTCAAACCCCGCTATAGTGAACTTCAAGGGACCGAAACTTCGGTTCACTATAACCGGGAGTTCACTATATCCATACTGCAAACAATTTTAACTCATTTTCCGAACTGCTCACTTTTATTACACATTATTTAAATGATAGACCCGTAAAAAATAAATACAAAAATGATTAAAAAACAATATGTTGTAACAAAAGATGTGTTAACTTTTATTTTTTACGACTCTTCGTCTTGAGTACAAAAAATTTAGGGATGGCCTTTATTTAGGGATGTGAAACTGAGATAGAAAAAGGAAACACGAAAAAATGCTTATTGCTACAATCCACTCAATAGGTGGTTTTAAAAATCGGTATATGTATTTTATGTAGAAATTTCAAAATTACCTTAAAATGAAGAAAAAAAATCAGTCGAAGGCAGAAAAAAGTGCAAAATATTCAATTTCTACATTACTTTTGGTTCACTATATCCACAAAAAATAATATTATATGTGTATAGCAAGGTAATATATATACAACGAAGAGCCATTACATTATGACCACCCTCCATCTATAACAAAGGGCTCGCCCAGGTTTGCATGGTTTCTCGCCCAGGAACTATGTTTTCATGGGGCACATTAGGACCCATAATCCTCATGGAACAATCCCTGATGTCTGTAAGCTACTTGAACATAGTTGCAGGCCAGGTTCAACTATTCATGGCAACAGTTTTTCCTGCGGGGGATGGTGTTTACCAACAGGATAATGCACCATGTCATAAGGGTCGAATCGTCGAGGAGCATTTCAGTGACTTTCAAGTCATGTCTTGGCCCCCAAATTCCCCTGACCTAAATCCAATAGAGCATTTGTGGTCCTACATGTTATTAGTAGGGTGGTCATAATGTAATGGCGCTTCGGTGTATATATTACCTTGCAATATATATATATATATA